ATTGTTTATATCTATCCACTTATCTGTCTAGGTATCCACACATCTATCTACCAATCCATGCACCCACCCTCTCTCCCCATCTGTCTGTCTGTCTGTCTGTCTGTCTGTCTGTCTGTCTGTCTGTCTGTTTATCTATCCAGCCATCAGAGCCCAGAGTGCTCATCTCACAGTGCTGTGAGGAAGTTGGCAGTAGGCTGATACATGTGTCAGTGGTAATGCCATGCTGTGTCCAAGGCCCTCTGCAAAGTCCTTCTCCTGCCTTCCCACTCACACCTATGCCCTTCCCTTGGCATAGCCACACCGGCACCCACCCCTACCTACTTACAAATTTACCTGCCCAACAATCCATCTCCTCCTGGCTGGAGCTACATTGGGCTTGTTCCTGTAACCAGACTCCCAAGCTGAGGGCCAGGCACTTTCATGGCTGACTTTCATGGATGAATTGAAATTTCTGTCCCATCTTCAGTTCAAAAACATCAATCAAGGCAAGAAGACCAGTGTTGCTGACTGTGCACTGCGGATGCTGGAGACATACTCCCAGAGCCTGGAGGCCCTGGTCCAGGAGAGGACAGAAGAGCTGGAGCTGGAAAGGCAGAAGACAGAGAGGGTGCTCTTGCAGATGCTCCCCGAGAGGCCTCTGGGACTCCAGTGCACTGCCAGCCTCAGGTCTAACTAAGGGGTCCTAGCACATACTAAGTGAGCAGAAAATCTGGGTCCCATGAATTCGCTGAAGCATTCATTCCTGCATATTTATTGAACACATTTTTATATCCCCCCACAAGTGCTAGGCACTTTAAGAGTCAGCTGAAAGCTCCTTCTGGACTCATTCATGCACTGTGGTTAGCTGTGAGCAAGGTGGGAACTCTGGTGATCTTAGCTGATCCCCACATCTCTGAAGCCTTGGCTAGGACAGCCCAGTGTGGCTGGGTTTGGAGAGAGAGGACAGAGGAACACAAGCTTCTTGAGCTCTAACCTGGCATCAGAAATGCTATTTTCAACATGTTCTAGTGGTCAGAAATGTCTAACCATGGAGAAATAAACTCCACCTCTTGATGGGAAAAGCTCAAGAGTCACGTTGCAATGGGTGGGAGTCAGACAGCGTGGAGGATGTGGGCCATAGTGTCCGCTTGTTCACTGTCCAGTCACCCATCCCTTTAACATTTACTGGCAGGACCTTTGGCTCCTGACCCTTGCGGGACATGGGCAGACAGAAGAGTCAACTCTGGTGCCCACTCTCCAGGGCTCCAAGTCCCACAGGTAAGAGATGATGATGATGACAACCCCCAGTGAAAGTGATGATTGGGGGAACCCTGGACGCAGAGAGGACACCCTGCCAGCTTGAGGGGTATCTGCAGAGGAAGAACAAGGGTCTGAGAGGAGATGCTCTCTTCCAGCATTTTCTGGGTGTGACTTGAACCCCGAGAGGTGCTGGTGAGTGTGGAATGCTGAGTGGGCCTCAGCAGCTGGACAGGAAGCAAGCCAGCAGTGGGTTGAGGGTGGGAGACCCTGGAGAGGGCAGCAGAGACCTTGGCAAAGCCACCAAGGCCGTCTGCAGTCCTGTCCCTGTGTACCTCTCAATCCTGGGTTCACATCTCAGTCTGGCCACCAGCTTCTGTGTGGCTTTTCTCCAACAGCCTCCCCTCTAGGGAAGGGACTAAGGAACTACCTTTCCTTGCAGGGGCTGGGAATAAGACCCTCAGTTGTAGCAGGTTCACCAAGGACAGGAGGATCCTATCCCCCTTGGGAAGTTCTTGTAAACTGAGATTGTGAGAATAGATGCCTCCCACCTTTCCCCCATGTCATGGGGACCTCCCCATCTCAGCCCTACCCATTTTTCTAATCCAGAAGCTGGGCCCCAAGGCTTGCTTCAGACCTAGTAGAGAAGGTGGGGAAGGAGGTTTCAGGACACACCAGGTCTCCAGGGAGGGGCCCAGGGCCAGGAACCCCAGGTGGTTTACCCACTGCTGACGGCACCCAACAGCGGGCCTCAGTGTCACCTCACTTCCATTCCCCTGAGGAGCCCCACAGTTCTGAGCATATCTCACGCTGGTGCCTACCCCCACCTCCATGGCTGCCCAGCCCAATGAGCCCAGAGGCATTCCTCATCTCTCCTGCCAAGCCCCGCGGCTGTGACCTGCCCTGATCCCCCAGCCATGTCGCTTCCACCTCTGCCGATCTTTCCTCACACATGTGCCCCTCACAGCTCTGAATCACACAGTTCTGCTCTTCTCTGAACTCAGGCCAAGAGGCCTGCATCTTCCTGGCAGAGGAAGATGAAATAAAACAAGGCCCGCGCCCCCTCCAGATGCGGGGAATGGGAGGCTTGTTCCCTGTGATGTGCAACGTCTCTCATCACTCTCACCATCCACCTCGAATTCCCCTCCACCCCCATCAGGATCTGGTTACGCTGTCTAATCCAGCTGGCTTGGGAGGCAGCTGGACGCCGTTTCCTGATTCCGCAAGGGGCTGGGGCTCCCTCGCAGGGCTGGCTGTGCCGAGTGCACACTTTGATGAACACATTCAGGGCGAAACAGAACCTCTGGGAGCCTCAGAAAGCCAGGGGCCCATGCTCTGCACCAGTCACCTGGCCAAAGGACCCTGGGCCTGCCGCCTCTCTGAGCCCAGAGAGCCCCATTTATGAAGCAGGGATGAAAGTGCCTACAGGTTGGGACAGAGATTACGAAATATAAAAGCATTTTCCCTCATGTACTCAGCAGCATAAGGCTGAGTCTTGCAGCACCAGGCGCTCAGCACCTGCCCCACCCCAGCACAGGAGGGCAGAGGCCCCCACAGAGCCCTGACTTAGCCAAAGGATTTTCACAGGCCACTTCTTTTAACCCTTTGCATGCTCTTCAGTGGATGGATCATCAGCTTTACAGCCCAAATGAGGACCCAGGCTCAGAGAAGATAAGTGGCTCTTCCAAGGCCACACAGGATGTCAGTGGTGGCGTCAGAATTCACACCTGTATTTGTTAGTAAGAAAACCTTTGCTCTCCCCTCCCTGCCCCAGCCATGTCCACCTGTGTGTGAGAGAGGACACACCAGCACAATGAGCCACAGCCTTGCCCGGCAGCTGAGAGTGCTTCTGAGCACAGTCCTTTGCATGGACTGGAGAGTGTGGCCCCCTATGCTCTGCGTCTCCGCGGCTTAGGGAATAAAGTAGAGAAGTCGGGCCCAGGGTGTCTTACTTGGGCAAGGAGGCTCTGAGTGTCCTGAGAAGCAGAGACAGAAAGGGACGCAGAGAGGCTGGGGAGAGCATACGGACTTCAGGTCCTTCATGAGGGCTGGGACCCCCTGGGGAATTGTCCATCCCAAGAAGCAACTGGGGAAGGAGTGCAGCCAGGGGAGACGAGGGGGGTAACCACTCATGTCCCTTCCAATGAGGTGGTTCTTAGGTGGTATCTTCTTCAAAACCATGAAGAGGAGGAGGAGGAGAAGGAGGAGGAAGAGGAGAAGGAGGAG